TTCTTGTATTTTTTACTCTTGTGATCCCCGAGGGCATTGTGGGTATTTCCCTAGTGATTAGTTTGAATTTAGACTATTTGATACGTGTTTGGAGAAAGAATAAGGATTCGACTTTTGAACGGAAAAGAGATTTTCACGATAAAGATTGAAGCGATCAAGGATTTGGGAACGGAAGATCCTCATGAGCGGAAGCGATTGAAGATCAAAGCAACCAATTCTCTTGTAATGTTGAATTTTATTGTTGAGTTTATTTTTATTATTATGAGTAGTTAAACCCCCCAATGCTAGGGGGTGTCCCTGAATTGACTCTGTAATAACCTTGTTTCCTTTGAATAATGGATTTCACTACTTTCTAATCATCGTTGTTATTGTATAATTTTCTTATGGCTTTTCTTATTTGACAAATAAGGATTTGTTTTACGCTTAACCTTAGGTTTGGAAAAACGATCGTTAACGTGTTTATACGATAATACTATAGTAGATATTGCCTAGGAATGGGGATACCCTATAGTAACCGTAATGTTTTAGATAAAATATATTGCTTGGGATTGTTCCTATACCGCCAAGAAATTAGGGCATAGGAAGAATACCAAAGAGTTTTCTACTAAGGAATTAGAGTCAACTAATCTTTAAAAACCGGTAACGATTGAATTGAGCAGTGATTTCTGAAAAATAAGGATTAAGGTTATTACAAGGTTTTTTCATACACCCTACTCTAGCATGCTTCTCATAACTGTCTAAAACCTTTATTTTACTACTTTTGCCTTTTGTCCTTTAAAATTGTAAGAAACAAACCAAAACCCCTATGACTTTTTGTTCAATTGTATTATTTTAGAACTTGTGTTCATACGCAGTCCGCGAGATCGATATTCGGGGAATTTCCCCTTATTACTACATCGGTACAATTAGTACACTTGCTAATTCACTGGTCATATACCCTTGAGGCTGAGGTTGTAAGTGGTTCGACAAATGTTGCATCTACGAAATCTATGTCGAAGACAGAATTATGGCACATGAGATTGGGCCATGTCAGCGAAAGAGGCCTGGTCGAATTGGGGAAGCAGAACCTGCTAGGAGGTGACAAAGTCAAAAAGTTGGAATTTTGTGAATCTTTTGTATTTGGTAAATCCTGTAGGGCGAAGTTTAACAAAGGCAAGCAAAGAACACATGGATCCCTGGATTACATTCATGCTGATCTTTGGGGGCCTGCAAGGAATCCTTCACACTCAGGTGCAAGGTATATTCTATCCATCGTTGATGACTATTCCAGAAAACTATGGGTATTCATTCAGAAGACGAAGGATGAAACTTTTGAGAATTTCAAAAGTTGGAAGATTCTAGTCGAAACTCAGACTGGCAGAAAGGTTAAGAGGTTGAGAACCGACAATGGCCTTGAATTCTGCAACGAAGCTTTCGAAAGTTACTGTGTTGGGTCTGGGATTGCAAGGCATAAGACTGTAGCAGGTACTCCTCAACAAAATGGCTTAGCTGGGAGATTTAATCGAACAATCCTTGAAAGGGTTAGATGCATGTTGGTTAGTGCTGGATTGAAGAAGGTGTTTTGGGCGGAAGCTGTTTCGGCAGCAACTTACTTGATAAATAGATGTCCCTCGACTGCCTTGGGAATGAAGACACCTGAAGAAGTTTGGTCGGGACATCAACCTAGTCTCGACAGACTGAGAGTATTTGGTTGTGTGGCCTATGCTCATATTAGGCAAGACAAGGTCGAACCTAGAGCTCTGAAGTGCATGTTCATGGGATACCCTGAAGGAGTCAAAGCTTATAGGCTATGGTGCCTAGAGCCAGGTCACAGAAGGTGTATCACCAGTCGAGATGTAGTTTTCAATGAAGCAGAGATGACTTTCAAGAAAATTGATTATGCTGACGAAGAGCTGGAACAGGGAGAGATTCCTGTTGAGGTGGAGCATGTTGATGCTGAATTGCTTACCCCAGATGAAGTCGAAAAAGACGCAGAAGATGTTGTCGAAGATGAGGAGATTGATAATGACTACCTGCTAGCAAGAGACAGGTCAAGGAGAGTCATCAAGCCACCTCAGAGACTTGGGTATGCAGATCTTATAGCTTATGCCTTAATCTCTGCTAGTGAGGTTCTAGATGAAGAACCTAGAGACTATAAGGAAGTTATGAGGAGTCAAAAGAAGACTGAATGGCTGAAGGCCATGGATGATGAGATGAAATCTCTTCATGATAACAACACTTGGGAACTGATCAAGAAACCTGCTGGAGCCAGGTTAGTCAGCTGTAAATGGATTTTCAAAGTTAAGGAAGGAATCGAAGGAGTGACGTCGAAGAGATACAAGGCAAGATTGGTTGCTAGGGGGTTCACTCAGAAAGAAGGTATCGACTTTAATGATGTGTTCTCTCCTGTTGTGAAGCACAAATCCATTCGAATGTTGCTTGCCATGGTGGCCCAGTTCGACCTTGAACTGGAACAGATGGATGTGAAGACTGCGTTCTTGTATGGTAATCTAGATGAAACAATCCTGATGAGGCAACCTGAAGGGTATGTCGAAAGGGGGAAGGAAGATTATGTGTGCAAACTGAATAGATCTTTATATGGACTGAAACAATCTCCTCGACAGTGGAATAGGAGATTCGACAAGTTCATGACACACATAAGTTTCATCAGAAGCCAGTTCGACCACTGTGTTTATGCAGGTCGTATGGATTCCAGAAAATCTATCTCTGGATATGTGTTCACTATGTTTGGGACAACAATCAGTTGGAAAGCAACACTTCAGAAGGTCGTTGCCCTATCAACCACTGAAGCGGAGTATATTGCCCTAACTGAAGCTGTGAAGGAAGCATTGTGGCTTGAAGGTTTTGCAAAGGAGCTAAAACTTCAAGGTCGAGTTATCACTGTTAAATGTGATAGTCAAAGTGCAATACACCTGTCGAAGAATTCAACCTATCATGAGCGAACCAAGCACATTGATATGAGGCTGCATTTCATCAGAGGGGTAATCGAGCGTGGAGAAGTCCAAGTGCTGAAAGTTTCGACAGATCATAATGCTGCTGATATGATCACCAAGACATTGCCCAGTTGCAAGTTTTTCCATTGCATGCAGTTAATAAAGTTGCATGAAGAAAGCTAGTTTCTTGATGTTATAGAGTTAGATCCAAGGTGGAGATTTGTGAGATGTTGGATCGAACTTGTGAGATGTTGGATCGAACTCTATTATAGTCGAAGTTTGTTCGCAAGTAATGCGTGTTGTAGTCGAAGTCTGTTCTAGCATGCATTAGTAAATATTGCTACGGTTGTTAGCATGTTGAATTGGGTCTTGCTTGTAAGCCCAATTGTTTAAGTTAGCTTGTACCCTAAGTTAGCTTGTAATGGGTAATTGTTAAAAAACCCATTAGGTTAGTGTGCTATTTTATTATAAATAGGATGCTAGTTTCTCAATCTTGGCATAAGGAAAAATAGGAAAAAAATCCTAATTTCAAGGGAGAGAGGTTATTTTGTTATTCTTGTATACTTGTAATCTTGTTCTAAGAGAAAGGAAAGAATAGCAGTTTAATAACCAATCCTTGTTGTTCCTTGTTGTTTTTTTTTCTTTATTAACCCTAACCCTTGTGTGTTTCTTGATAAGAAACCGTGTATACTTTGTTTAACGGTATCCTATTCACAACACAATTAAATTATGATCTTTTCTATGTATTTTTAGCACTATGATAGATATCATGTTTTTTGGTTTTTTGTACTACATGACATGATTGTAGAACTTCAATTTTTTTAATATCATGATGCTTATTTGATATTACATGTTCTTGATTGAAAAAGTGATAGAAAATCAAATAAAAAGTTAAAAAAATATTTAAAAAATACCATAAATAAAAATAATTTAGTAAAAATAATTTTAAGAAAAAATATAATATAATAAAAAATATCTTAGTAGATAAGCATTAAAAAATTATTAAAAAAAATAATTTAAAATTTTTAAATCAAAATTACAACGGTTTAGACCATCATGACGTGACATTCACGATAGTTTGAAACCATTGTAATCAACAATGAAAACAAAAATCAAACCGAATTTTACGACTGTTGGTAACCATCGCAATATTCTAATTACGTCAGTTCCCTAACCTTCATGAGAATTAATGACTGTTGGTACGAGGGTTTTCACAACCATCACAATATAACTTTACGACACATGTTTTTGGGGCAAAGCTACAACCATCGTAATATACAAATTGCGTCGATTCTAATCCTACAAAAATAAACTGTCGCAATTTACCAATTTTCTTATATTAGTATTACACCTACCCTTTTAATATAAAACAACAAATGAAATCATAAGATAATCAAAAACAAAGGAGGGACCTTAAAATATCTAGGCCACAATCTGTGTTCCCCTAAATAGACAGTATCACTAATTAACAAATTACTAACATAGTTTCAAAAACCACTCTCTTAATACTTACTCAAAACTTGAGTTTTGCTAAAGCATAAGTTGCAACTAACTCCTACAAAATTATTTATACTACTATATTTAAATAAATCAAGTATATGATTTTGCAATTTTTTTAACAAAATCATTAAAATAAAACAATTCAAATAATTGAGTAATAAAATTATGAAAACTCAAGTATAGTTAAACCAATCACATAGTTAATTCCAATATAATTCAAGAAACCGCTAAAAAAGCAATTATATTTTTTGAAATATTTTTGAAATTTAATACTTAAAATTTAAGGTAATGAATAACTTAGGTGTCATGTCTCAATTAAAATAAATTATGAATATAAAATCTTCAATTATATATGAGGTCGGCAAAGTTTTCTCACTAAATACTCAATATTGCTTTAAATAATAAAGTGGAAAATATTACAATTTCAACTTTGTTACATAAAAGGAAATACTCGATAAATAATAATTATAACTATTTTATTTGTGCATACAATCTTTTTATTTAGAATTAAACCCAAATAAATGTTTTTGAATATATAATATTCTCCAACATTTTAAAAAGTTAAAACTATTCAACATTAAGTAGGTTATAAAAGAACTCTAACTCATAATCCCATCTACAATTTTCACATAAATTAAAATCATCGTCTTCATCATCTAATAATAACCATCGACCTTTCTTCAGTCTCCATCCATAACACGTGCTCTTAGAGTTACATATAGGAGTTTGATTGCGCACCAATATTCCATTATTTTTCCATAGAGAATTTGTTAAGGATTGTACCTTCATCCTTGAACTCATAATACACTTCGACTTTCTCAGAGCACGCATATATTCAACTCCTTGATTTTTTGATTCGTGATCTTCAGAACACAATAAAATTATTCCATACACATACATTGCTTCCTTATGACCCATTTGAGCAGCAATCTTTAAGCTCTTAAGACCAGCCATATTTCCATTTGGATAATTAAAGTACTTAAGCAATCCATCTCTATACAAGCTCTCGCTATTTTTACTTTCCACACAGCGTTTGAAAAATAACAATGCGTTTTTGTTAGGAATCCATTGGATGAAAGGAAAATTGTCCAAAGATATTTTTTGTAACACATACCTTTCTTGCGCAACTTCGAAAAAGTCTTTGCAACACACTTTTATTTTGTGAAGATCAATGAAAGACTGAGAACCTATAATTGCAATCACATTAAGTAATAAATCTCTTGGAAGTGATTGCATGATTGAAGAAGACACGCTTTCATTGTTATTATTTTTCTCTTCCACTCTTATTTTAGATGACATGATTGAACGATTGTAATATTGAAAAGAAAAACTAATTAGAAAATAAAAACATTGATTTAGTTATGGATTGGTGGCTTAATATATATAGGGATTAAATATTTTGTTTGAGAGTGAATTTCTAGTTTTTAAAAAATCAAACATAAAATCTTTAATTTATATTATACTATTTAAGGTTGAATTCATTAGTTTCAATATAAACAGTAAATATTCCAACTAAGATTGATTTATAACAGATATGATTAGCTTGATTTCGATTTTAAAATTGTTAAGATCTATGGTTGATTTAGGATCAATTCCATTAATTAGAGTTTAAAAATGGTATTTTATAATTATTTTTATCTACTATTGGTTTTTATCAAGGTTGATTTAAGATTTTTTCTATTAATTTTAATTTTATTATTCAGATTTAACAAAATTATAGTAAATGAATAAAGGATATCCAATTCTCTCGTTTCACATTTATAATCGTTAACTAGAAATTTGTTTCTATATATGAGTTTTATTTTGCTACACAAAATCAAACCTTAAAACCCACAATTATGTAGGAAATCAATATTTTTATCTATTTCAGAAAGTGAAATTTTTAAAATTTTAATAAGTATAATATTGACTAAACAATTATTTTAATATTTAAATATGACAGCGGTTGTCACTTACATCCAATAAAAAATTGTTTGAATTTTAGATAACTCTAAATATCATATATGAGCTGCTAAACTATTTGGTTTCAAAGTTCAATCAGGTGATTTTAGATAGAGAAATGATGCTTGGATATCAAAATTTTGATGATGCACTTTGATTTTAGTTTATATTGTTGAATTGAATGGAATCTTTCTAGACACTTTATTCTGAGTTGTCAGCACTTAATTTTCGTATAATGCTTAAAGTTTCTTGTTATATGTTCTGCAAATATGTGATGATTTATTTTCTATTAAATAGTATTAGAGTTCTTGAATATATAACATAATATATATATATATATATATATATATATATATATATATATATATATATATATATATATATATATATATATATATATATATATATATATATATATATATATAGAAATGAATAAGTTATGGATTATGAAGCTACAATCACCGTTTACGTATCGGCAAAGGATAATAAAATTTATTAATTTTGCATTTAAAGGTGAAAAAGAAAATGACGTAGTAATATATTCTTGTAAGCGATGTGATTTCAGAAAATCAAAGAGTAGGAGTGACATGTTCGACCACTTAATGTGGTCAGCATTTCTAAAGGGACACACCATGTAGATTCATCATGGAGAGTCCTTTGTACTACCTAGTACTATCTCCCCTAGTACTACTCCAAATATGGTTAAAGATACTATCATTTTCGAATATCTTATTCAGAACATGATCAACGATGTATTTGGAGTTTGTAGGAATCATGCTAATGAAATACCATCTGCATCAAATTTGGAGATTGACCAGGCATGTTATTTGATGTCAAATCTCTACTACAAAATACGCATTCGGTAACACTAATTCTGTTACGGTTATTCATTCCACCGTTGTAATATCGCAAACTAGATGCGCCTGATATATTTTTTATTTTTTGAAGTTTATTTAATCAAGGATGATATAAACAATCGTGGTGATAAAGCAATAGTTATAAGCTTATAATCCTAGCAACCACATTTTTTTTCTATTTTTCCTATTACAAAAAGCGCGTGTCACTTATGTTCAGAAATAAATAAAAAATTGAACACTATTTGACCATGGTTTTAGTCTACAACCGTTGTAATAATATCTACATTTCACTGTGGTTGTAAATATCAACTGTGATTAAAGTTTTTCCTGATAAATTTAAAACAAAATAGATTCATTATTTACTTCATAACACATGCCCTAAGCGAACTAGCGAACCAACGAACCAAAGACGACAGCGAAATCTTCATCTTCACAATCTTTGTTCATTTGAATCTTCATTCTTGATAATCTTCACTACCTTCATTCTTGGTCTCTTCTAAGTACGGTATGTTTCGTATAAACTTCACTCTCTTCCTCATCTTACTAATTCTTGATAATATTCACCATCTTCATTCTTGTCGAATTTTATGGTCTTTTTCTTGCAAAGCTCATATGCTTTTTCCATATACTTAAAATTAGAGTTGTATTATTGTATTGAATATGTTTTTTGTTTTGTTGTTAGATTTTGTGGTCTGTTTCTTGCAAAGTTCATATGCTTTATCCATATGCTTAAGATTTAGAATCTTCAAAAGTTTAAAGCAATTTCCTTTTACATTTGTCTCATTGATGATGGTCAAAGGGTGCCTTGGAGAAAGCTCATTAAGTTCAACAAAGTCATACCTAGAGCATTGCAATGCTTATGGCTTGTTTGCCACGGAAAATTAGCTACTAAGAAAGAATGAAAATATTTGGGATGCTTCAAGATAGTACTTGTAGTTTGTGTCATAATGATGATGAAACTTTAAACCATTTATTTTTCTGCTACAATAAGACTAAACCCATTTGGCAGGCCGTGCTTCAGTGGGTGGATGTGACCCATGGTCTCAAACATTGGATTGATGAATTGGTTTGGATTAGTGGCATAACAAAAGGTAAAGGTTGGAAAGTGGACCTCATAAAAATATGAATAGTTGAGTCCATTTATAGCATTTGGAGGTATATAAATGATATAGTATTTGGAAATAATGTGAAAAATACAAATATAGTCATAACAATTATAGATAATGTGGTGTATAGAGGTTGGAAAAATTCAAAAATTAAAAGCCATTTAGTTAGCCTTATGATGTAATCTTAGTCCTTGAGGTGTGGTTGGATCCCTTGAGGATCACCTTGGTTGTATTTTTTTTTTGAATTAATATATATTCTCTCTTGATTAAAAAAATATTTATTTATTAATTGTACATAAGTGACCACACCTAACTTATTTAAAAACAAAAATAATTGTTGTTTTAAACATACTTACTAAAAGAATAAACTTAAAAAAAACTTCAACAATCATTTTCCAACCAAGTCCAATCAATCTAATTCATATCCAAAATTATTTTAAAACATTTTTCATTATTCAATTCATCTCTAAACGTCAATTAAAACCTCGGCCAACATCAAATAAATTTTTTCAAATCAAAACACTTAACTTATACTTAAACACCATTTTATTAAAGATGAAAAAATGATGGTCTCGAGCCTTCAATTCCTCTCCTCAATTAATTGGGTACGAGTTCCCTTACTCGACTATTCGAACAATTGTCATCTCTTAAAGATTTCTAATACGATTCACCTCAAATCATTTTCGTAATTAAATCAAAGCAAACTAATTTTCATAATAACTTAGATGAAAAAGAAAGTGTTCTAGAGCCTTCTATTCTCTTCCTCAAATATTTGCACATGAGTTGCCTTACTCGACCGATTAAGTATTCATCACCCGCTTAAAATGTATTAACTATATTAAATTCTTTCACAATTAAGGATAAAAAGGGAGATCGACTAGAGCCTTTTATTCCTCTCCTCGATTAATAGGATATAAGTTGTCTTACTCGACTATCCGAGTAATCATCATTCAAACAAAATATTAAACATATTAACCTAACTTCTCGCCCCCGTACGATCAACACTTTTTCAAAAAGAATATTGTTTAGTCTGTTCTAATACGAATACAAGCAAGCACTTTAAGTTTCCAATTGCGAGCACAAGCAATGTTAAACCATTAGAATGTGATCTAAACACTTGTTCAATAAAACAAACCAACAAACCGTAGTCCCCCCCCCCCCCTAAACCTCAAAGTCATGAGTTCCTTATTGCACCCGAGGATACTTGGCAAAGAGACCCGCAATCTCGTCAAACATCCTAATAAAAACTTTTTGCGACACTTTTCTTTTATTTTACACTCTCATCATTCAAAGAAAACAAATAATGATAGTTAGCATTCAATCACAAGTTTAACTAAAAGGTTCTCGTCGAGTACAATGGACATGAGAGGTGTTAATGTCTTCCCCTTGCGTAATCGACTCCCGAGCCCGAATTTGGTTGCGATGACCGTTCTATTTTAAATGTTTTATCGATATTTTCCTATTCTTTCATTGTAATAAATAAAGTTCGTTGACAACTCTGTTCAAATCATTTTTTTCCGCGACTTCACGAAGAATCGTATTTTTTCAAGATACGACACTTCCATTAATTCATATTCAAGAGTAAAATCAACAACACAAATTTTTATCTCTCAAATGAATAAAGTGTTCAATCTTGATTGCTTAATTGGTCAGAATATACACCAACTACTTTTGAATGCTACGGTGAATAACTTCAAGCACTCAATTTTAAACCTGGTTTCGCAGAAAATGAAATTTCATGTCAATGCACTTGCTTTTTTCATGCAGCACTAGATTCTTAGCAATGATTATAGATGATTTGTTATGAATTATCAACCTCATAGGCTTGTTTACCTTGATCTTCAAATCCTGCAACAAGTTCAAAATCCAAATAACATGACACATCATCTGCAATGTACTCAGTTCACATGTTGACAATACAACCACTGGTTTCTTCTTGGAGCACCAAGAAACGGAACCTCCTAGATATTTAAAGAAATAATATAGAAATACTTATTATGTCAACTTTGTCTCCACACCAATCAGAGTCTGAATAACATATCAGCTCTAAATCAAATTTAGCATCAGAGGGGAACAAGACTCTATACTTCATAGTCCCTTTAATGTACCTCGGTATCCTAACAACAGCTTAGTAATATATCCACTTTGGAATGTTCATAAACCTACTCATCATTCCAACTGCATAACAAATGTCAGGTTTGGTGACACATGACCTAATAAGTAGATTTTTTAAGTTAGTTAATGAACAAGTCGATTTAAATTTTTTAATGCGAACTAGTATTTAAACCCATGCGATGTTCGAAAAATTAATGATATCAATGATTAATGAATATAAAATTGCAATAGCATAAGAAATCATTAATGTGATTTTTTTTAATAAATTTTGATATCAATT